TGTCCTCCATTTCTTGCTTCCGATTCCGACCCCTCCACGGGACTTGTTACGCACTGGTTTTGTCTTCGCAGGACAACTTTGTTCCATTGTTCCACCATGGTCCCACATACAGTGGTAAAACGTGCAAGCAGCAAACGGGTACAGAGGAAGTACTAAAATAACTAACAGAAAGACAGCCTCCGTACTTTGGTGCATACTTCTTATACTTGAGCGAACCACGTAAGATCACTGTCAGTGCCCCTCCCTGATACTTTACTGACCTGGGTAGATTCATACATTCAAACAACACCCGAAACAATAACCACAAAGTGACAACAACAACAGCAGCAGCAGCAACCACAACAACAGGAATAATCGCAACAACCGGCAGTAACAACAACAACAACAACAACAACAACAACAACAACAACAACAACAACAACAACAACAACAACAACAACAACAACAACAACAACGGCAATAACAACCAACACCAGTACATCAGTCATTTGAACTGATGCTTCGAAGCCATGCAAACATAATGACCCAAGGAAGAAAAAATAATAACAGAGCGAGAAGGGGAACTTACCCGAAAACCTAAATGCCCTAAGCAAACATTCTGGGACAAGGCTGCTACACCTTGCGTTAGCAACATACGGTCACAAACAGCTGCCTATCGTACAAAGAAAAAGCGGCACCAGTTAGACAGCTTCCTTGTGGCTTTCACTGCCTCGGGTCATAATCAGCCATTACCCCGTTGATAACACAGTAAGAAACACAAACGCAGTCTAAATAGGAGACGGTAACAGACGCGCCAATGGTGCCGGTTGCGAGCCACCTCCTGTTAAGTCTCGAGCCAAGCACAAGGCGAGTCACGTGGACTCCAGCTCGGAAAGCGAGACGGAGCAACGCACCCAGTTTGGTTGTCAGTGACTTCATTTCCCGCTGCCAAGTCAACTTCTGTCCACCTCGAGCTTTGTACCACCGTACAACTGGCAGACTAAACAAGGCCCTCCTGGTTAAGCGGTGACCAGGCATACGTAGCACGCGCCCAAGCCACTGCAATTTATTCAATGTTATGTATACTTTCAGGGAGCTAGCATGATTATCACTACCTAGAACTCGCCTACGCACATCACCGTTGCAAAGACGCTGGTGCCATCCGACACCAGCAATAGTTCGCAAAAAAAACGATAAGCAAAGACTTGAAGGCGCCTCCGATCTTCAGACCGAAGGGGCCAAGTGCCGCTCTCATAGAGCAGGACGGCCCTCATCGTGGCCTTGTGTACACTGCCTTTCAGACGGAGGAAACTCCCTTCTGTCGCCAATGATTCCACAGGTTCAAGAAAGCAGTTCTGGTGTTTGTAACGTGTAAACTGACTTCAGTTTTTATGTGACCATCGTTGCTGATGCACTTGTCAAGGTAGATGAGTCGATCAACGAGCTCGAGTTCTTCATGTACAAGGGTTAAGTGATCATCAAGTGGCTGGTGGTCCTTCAGCAGCACTTTGCACTTTAAAGCTGCGAAGTGCATACCAACTAATGGGACCACTCTGGACAGGCTATTCAGGATTGCTTGTGCCACCGCAACCTCATCGGAAAGCAAGACGATATCGTCTGCGTAACCAATACCAATTAACCTTTAACCAGGTAGGACCACAAGGCATACATCGTGAGATTCCGTAAGGGAACACACCATGATGGAATCCACAACAAAATTTAATAAACATGTGGACATCGGACAGCTCTGACGAACGCCACTGACTGTCGGAAAGCTATCCAACAGGTCACTATAGACCAGGACCAGGCCTGTAGTATTCGAGTACAGAGCACGTAAGACGTTCACGTATTTCGTGGGAACACCTTACCGAGCAAGTATTTCGAACCGAATGGGTCGATCGACTGAATCTAACACACACTTGAAATCAAGGTACATAGCTATTGTCCGTATGCGATATGCGTGACACTGCTCTAGTACCTGCTGCAGAGTGAATATATGGCCTATCCAGCCACGTTTTGGGTGGAAACCAATCTGCTCTTCCCTAATCCGAGATTCCCGTTCCACAGTGAGGCGAGGAATGAGAATCGAGGCGAGTACTTTTGTCACAACTGGCGTTAGGCTTATACTCCCTGTGGTTAGCACAGTCTGTGCGGCTGCCCTTCTTGTAAATTGTCACTATGATCGATTCAATCCAGTTAGTCGGGAGAGTTCCTTCTGAAAATATTCAAATAGGGAGGTCAGTGTTTTGCAGCATACCTCTCCATCCTTAAATAGTGCTGATGGGAGGGAATCCGGGCCAGAGGCACGAAAAGGATTGAGAGCTGTGATCGCTTTTCGAACCTCGGCCTCAGACCGAGGCTCTAAACCAACCGCCCATGCCTCATCCTGCATGACCTGAATAGGAGGAAGTCCGGAAGCAGCCGGACAACTTAACTGTTGTCAAGTGTTCCGCCAAAGGAGCCATACGGCGCTGCTTATTGTGTATAAGCGCACCCGCGCTGTCCCTGATTGTCTCACTGACGCCTGATTTCCTGGGACCAGTGGTGTGGATCATATGGAAGAGCTTGTGCTAATTGCCTACCGCACCTGCCTCCTTTATTTCTTGAGCCCTACTGGTCCACCAGGATTCCTTGCCAGCACGCAGACTTCTCTTTAGTTCGCTCCTAATAGTCCTTCTGGTCACATCGTGCTCAGAGCCAGCCGAGAGGTATTTTCTAGATTCCAAACGTTCATCGAACTCTCTGATATCCAATGACTCGAGCCATGACGATTGATAGTGCCATGGCGGCCGAGATCCTATTCCAATAAAGCTCAGTGCCACTAGGATAAGACAAAGTTGGGTACGCACTGCATCTTGGTAGGTTTGTCTGACCGAGACCTAAGGCAGTTTCTCAGTTGCCAATCGGAGGAGATTCTTGGTGCGCCTCCCGGTAAAGTTCATGGAGAAACGACAGCGTAGCAAGGCATGATCGGAGTCAACGCAGGTATTCTAGTGCGAGCAGTTATCCAGTATAGAACCACGCCACCTGTAACTTATGGCAATATAACAATTTGGGTTCATAGCTGGCCAGCTACAGGAGGATACCAAGTGGCACTTTAGCGCCCACATTGTCTAAAAGCAATGTTAATAAGAAAAAACTGGTGCTCCGCACACAGTTGCAGCAGACTTTCGCCGTTGTCAGCCCGTTCGGAGTTAAGCCCATTAAATACCACCCAGCTGAGCATCTGAAGAGCTCAGTCGCCTTGCTTTTGCGTTCAAATCCCTGGACGTACTACAATATCCGAACTAGTAGCCTTGTGTAGTAGTGCGTTCAGTTCGTGATATAATGTGTCCTTGATAGCATCAGAACTGCAGTCGGTGGGAGCATAAGCGGAAATCACAAAAAACAGCGTTTTTCACTACTTCGTGTATCAACCTTGGTCGAGGTCGTCAAACGGGCTGTACACAAACGGCCGTTCACCGGAATCCAATGAACCAATGATTGCTCAGCCCTGAAGATTGGTATGGTGCCTACCGCAGCTGGACCGGTAAGTGCTGCATCGGCGTCTCCGGATGCGTGCAACCAGTAGCGGGAGGATAAGCTAGGCGCAGTTACTCCAACAACAACCCTAGTTTCGGACACAACACACGCAAGTAGGAGTGCAACCTGTTCACCTGTTTGTCTTAGCGCGAACCTTGAAAGCCTCCACGGAAACGGGACAGCGTGGCCTTATAAGGGAATGTTGCGGATAGGTATCCGATGGGTGTTGTGGGAAGGTGGCTGCAGATGCTTCTACTCCGGTGGCACTTCGGTTGCTGTTATACATTCACCAAAAGTGAAACGTTGTGCATACTGTAATGCATTCTCCCTGCACATCCCGTCTGTGCTTACCGTTCATAGGGGATAGTTCCCATCTGTGAACCAACTCACCTTGCTGGTCCGCACGCAAATACGAATTCGCAGGTTACTTGACTTTGCTGTGTCTTCCTCATCCGTTTGTTGTAATGAAGTCCCGTTTAATTTGAACGAGTGCGATCGATATTCTCCGTGATACTCGTTCGCTGCCTTGCGCTGCCTTCTAGTTGGGCGCCTGCCGGTGTGCTTGCCCGCCGTGTTGCTCCACGGCGTAGCCAAGATAAAGTTTTATGTAGATCCTTAGTCCCTCGACCGGCCTCCTTGCTACAGTATATTGCGCAGTACTACATTGCATTCTGGGTTGTTCCGAGCTAAGTAGTGGGTTTTGGACTAAGTTTTGAGGTTGTCCAGGTCGGTTTATGATATAACCGATAATCCCGTGGTTAGATGATGGACACCAAGGATTAGGTCACCCGCATGATTTAGTCAAATGGATTCTTCAGGGGCGGAGATTTAGCTAACACAGCGGAAGGATAAAAGTGAAGACAGGGGAATTCTTGAAGTGAATAGGAATTTGTGGTAATTGACGAAGCTTTTCCATAAAACCCCGGTTGGTTGAGTGCACTTGGTTAAATAATCCCTCAGCAGAAAACCAGCGGCATTTTCGACTCCAGAGCCTAGCAGATCGTGCAATATCAGTGGGACATAAGTTGCCTAAAAGTAAGCTACGACGACTATGAGTAGTTGGCCTCACTGTGACCTATGCTTGACAAGACCCGTGAAGCAGTTAGCTAGTTCTTGTATCTGGCTCGTTAATTGGAAGGCTGTTTAGGATTATTATGTTTCCATTAACCACGGCCTTATCTGATTGGCCATAATTAATTGGGGAATCCTCGTGGCGTCATTTTGCGTGTAAAAGGACTGTAACTTGCTGCCATATGCAGCCTTCGGTTTTGCCATACAGTCGCTGTTTCTGTACACTTTATACTGCTATCGGAATGCGTGAGTTGTCTGAGACACCCCCCTCAGTTGTTTAGCTGTATGACCGATTGTACTTTCTCAAACCACCCTATCCGAGGTATACCGGATAAGATCGGTCGTCTTCGGTACCATCTGGTATAACTGCTTTTCATTCGTTTAGCCGTTCTGGGTGCCTCGGAACACTTGCTCTTTACTCTGATGTAATGCATTGGCGTTGGGTAAGTACGCAAGGGATAGCTTCGTAGCTGCCCCAGTTGTGGAAATTTTGTAGCTGAGGCGTAGTACATTATCAAGGCCTGCGTTTTGCTAACTGCCTCCGTTCGTTTACTACGGGAGCAAAATTTTCACTACGATACGGTTTCTATTTTATTTTGTCTTGCTTGATTTTGTCCGCTACACATTGCGCATAAATTCACACCACTGTCCTTTACCTAAATGCTTCTAGAAACCCTGGAAAGTGACAGGATTGAATCATGTTTCGATAGTGGTCCCAAACATAGAAAATGCGGCCTCATATTACCGTGATACCTTTGGGGTAGAAGTGGACAAACCATTTGTAAGTTTTCTTCTTTTTGTATCTGCCTGTTTTTGCCCTTTTTGCTGTAAGTCAGATACTCAGTAGAATGTTTGCGCCGGAAATTTTGGCTACATAGTGACTGAAGTCAGTGGTTCAGTTGCATAGCGGAACGTTGCTTGCCGGTTACGCTGGCCTCCTTTGGAGTGCGTCGGCTAAACGTAAGCACACGGCCACCAGTAAACAGCACAAGTTAGAGCAGAGTACACAACTTTTCATTCAATCACCGCTGACGCAGCAGACCAGACTGTTTGCGCGTTAGTAGGTGGATCAACTGAAGACCGATTGTATATTAATCTGTGTCACACCCACGTGGATCATTAGATCATGATTTAGAAGTAGGAATCTTTTCACACGTATCACTATGGTTTATCTAGTGCTTTTCATTGTTTTGTTCAAAGAATACTTCAACGAAACTAACCGTATTCGGCTTGGAGCAAGTAAACTCTTCTAGTGTGAATGATCTATTTGACCCGTAATCCAAACGGTAGTGAGAGCCTATGTAAACAGAATACACTGTAAGCAAATTCTGAGTAAACATTGTTACTCCCTTTCGCAACTAAGGTGTGTGTATGTGTGCAAACACCAGATCTGGCATTCAGCCGCAGTAGATCTGTTGTCAGTGGCTAATCTTTGTCTAGACATGTAACAGAAACACGCAGTTAAATAGCGTAGGGGAGGCTTGCAATTATAATTAGGCTAAATCCACCAGCTGTTATTGCATTATATCGGGAGAATAACTATAATTACCGAAGAAATAGTCCCGTTTAACACATATGTGGAACCTGACAAGGTCCGGTTCGTGTAACTTTTTATTTAATACTTTGCGACGGTTCATTAAGGGGTAGAATGAAGAAGAGCATTTGGATGAGGAGGGAGTTGCCTGCAAGGTTCCTCGGCCGCCTTCTTACTCACAGATCCCAGTCTCACTGCGTACCGCAAAGGTACACCTGCAATGCCAATGAAGATTCCACCCATGTCCCACTCTGACCACCTCGGCAACAAAGTACAATAGCCTCATTTATCTTGTCTGTAGTCCTTAATCACGGGCTGGGAACCACCAGACCATGGAGACCGCACTTACGGGGCTGAAATACCTCAATCACTTGAGCAACAATAAACAATAGATAGCTGTCCCCTAGACAGCCTCGCATACAACAGCTTACCTTTACCAGCCTTTTCCGTCTAATTAGTCATACAGCTTTATTTCCCACCTCACGGAATATAGGCTTCAAGTGCTGAGCTGTGTGAGTTAAAAGGTAGAATTACTGGGGGAATGCGTGTTGCTTGAACCATGCTATTGGGGTTTAAAGAAAACACATTACTGTCTTTTTTTACTCATGTGCAAAAGTCCATCTAGCTAAACACTCAAGCCCACCATTTTGTATTGTTGGCCAAATATTTAAGAAACACCGCTGCCCATCAGAAGCAATGCTGTCGTTTACTTGCTTACCCAAGTGCTCATTTGAGACCTTGATACCATGAGCTATAGCTTCCATGAGATTAAAGACAACAGTGGGGGCACCTGGATTCAATAGTCTACTTTCATTGAACATACAAGTGAGTGGTGACCAATTAGTGGCTCCCCTGAACTACCCCACTCAATAACAGTCGGGGGCCTACCTATGACGACGCTCCCGACTGATGGTGACTCCGTTTAGGAACATACCAACACCGTACAATGCATTAGGTATGATGTAATATTCACAGGTTTAGAGTGCTGAGTAGGGGTTCTTGGACCTGTGATGATTGCTGATCCGTGAATATCAATCTTTTCATAACGAGTGCCTCCGGAGTAAACTTCTTAACGACGCGACCTTGCACTCCAGATGCAGCCACTTACAGGGAACTAAACTCTGGTAGCACAACACAGCTGTGCGTAGAAACCGCGATTGTTACACTGTCCATGGCTATTGAGTTGAACACGAACCATCATCAGACTAGCATACACGCAGCTGCTACCCTTTGGTATTGCTGTCCATGGCGAGCATTGTAGCGCAAAGTTAATGGCAACATAGTCGGTTTACCATTCATGTAAAACCGCATACGCCAACGCACGGAATACCCATGAGATGTGAAATCTAGGGTGGCTTTTCTGTCCGTTTCAAGACGTATGTATTGTATTGCTTCAGGAGACTAGACATCGACACATGTCATTGAATTATAGATAGTTCAAAATCCTGTACCATAGTCAATAGCTGTAGCTGTTACTGATTACTGGTTAGAAGCAGCGAGTACATCTTGCTCTGTGTAGCTGCGTCAAGCTTCTCACATGGACAAATACGCGTTATGTTGTGTTCCGCTCAATATATCTTGCGTCAGCAAGGTGTTTGTCAGGGATCTCCTTAAATTCCGACATTGACTTTGCCTCAACTAATTGCTGCGGCAGGTCGTTCCATACATTCACTACTCTGCTTTCGAAAGAGAGTTGGTGAGCGACCCTCTTCAAATCCGGAACGACAAGCTTATACGGCTGTCCTCGTGTGCTGCTTGGTGTGCGCAGATAAAGCAGTGGTCTCAACATAGGGTAATCACCCACGTGTAATATCCGGTGAGTCATGATGAGGTCAAACCTCAGTCGACGATACGCTAGAGTGTACAGCCCGCTCTTCGTACGGCACACCTCGTATGTTGGAAATCAGCCTGGCGGCTACATGCTGCACTCGCTCAAGCTTTTCTACCTCGCCCCGGATGATAGGACAATGCGCGGGAGAGCCATACTCTAGCATTGGTCGTATTATTGAGACGAAGAGGCGAGTGGCAATCTCTTCGGACCAAGTGCTGAAGCTGCGCCTGAGCGCCCAAAGCATACGTAGGTTGTTTTTGGTAAATCCTATTCGTGTTGTCCATGGACTTTAGGTCGCGGCGTGAGAGTACACCGAGGTCGCGCACGAAAGGCGCGGGATGCAATAGTTAATCAGCCACTGCGTAGCTTCGGCTGTGCTGACACTTACCCAGCCTCATGAATTGCGAATTGACCGGGTTGATCGGAAGGTTGACCTCTGCAGACCACGTGGAGAGGCGGTCGAGGTCCTGCTGAAGCAAATCACAATCATGGTGTGTGCGAATTACTCTCCATACCTTCATTTCATCTGCGAACAAAGCACAAGATCATTGGGGTAGCTGAGGAACATCGTTTAACTGGATCAGAAACAAAATCGGCCCCAGTACAGTGCCTTGGTGCACGCCGCTGCTCGATGGATACCAGTCGGTTAAATGGTTGTCAACCTCGACCCTCCACTTTCGATCAACAAGGAAATTCCCTTTCCATTGGTGCAGCCAACCACCAACACCGCACATCCTCAGCCTGTCGAGGAGCACTGCATGATTTACCTTGTCAAAAGCTTTACTGAAGTCAATGTGAATGATGTCGACAGATTTGCCTTGGTTCAGCGCATGTAACCATTCTTGTCTCGTCAACAGTAGGTTGGTGATGCACGAGCGACATTTCGCGAAATCATGCTGTGCGGGCATTAAGAGGCTTTTCGACTCGAGAAGCTGCAGAAACCTCTTCTTCACAATCCTCTCGAGCGTCTTTGCCAAAATAGCGGTCAGGCAGATCGGCCGGTAGTTGTCCACTTTGCTTGGGTTACAACCTTTCAGTATTGGCTTTATGACTGAGCATTTCCAGTCGCTCGGTAATAGTCCAGCGTAACATTTTGAACGGCTCAGTTATAGAAGGAGCGATGATGACCGATAGGGAATTGAGAATCAGTGGGTGGATTCCGTCTGGCCCAGCAGGCTTCGTCCCATCAAGATTTGCTAGAAGCCTACGTACATCTGCAATACTGCAGTCTAGGCTGTCAAGTTCAACGGAAGCGGTACTCGTCGAACTCGTTACAGACACCTGGTCATTTGCAAATACCGAGGCGAAGTGCGCCGCCAATGCGGACGCAGGATCTGTAAGAGGTTAGGGGCTGTTCGTCTGAACTTTCTAACACTGGGACATTGGCTGCAGGCCACAGGCGCCGATTCATGTATGCGAAGATTCTCTTGGGAGCAGTTTTTGCGGCGGTTGCAAGCTGTTCATCGAACCTTCTGCGTTTTTTTGTTTTCACGTTGTTGCAGCGATTTTGCTATACCTTGTTCGCTTTACAGTCCTCATCAGAACCAAATAACACGAATTTGTTCCATAGTCTGCGTCGTCGTCGGGCCAATTTGCTGTACTCCTTGTCGAACCAATGTGGTTTGACTGGCCCAGCTTTCCGATATTTGGGGGGTACAAATCGAGCGCACAACGATTTCACTCCCTCTTTAATGATAGTCCAACGGGTGTCAATAGACAAATCCTGTGGTAAAGACCAGTCTATCTGGCTCGCTGCTCGAATGAAGCTATTAAAACCCGCCTTCCAAAGTTGAAGGCTGGCTCCAGCGGGGGAGAATACGGCAGCGGTAGTTCCAAGTTGGCTATGATCATCGCGTGGTCACTCGCTCCCAGAGGCTCTAAGACTTGAATGTCATGCACACGTTGCTCATAGCTAGTCAAAACCAAGTCTAAGCACGATGCAGCCGCGCGCGCAGAATGCGTTTCGGTTGGTTGATGTGCTGTATGGCCGCGGTTTCAAATATCAAATCCGTAAACTTCCTCTCGACTTTACTGTGGCCGAGGAGAAGTTCAGCCTCACGCCACTGTATTCGGGGTAAGTTAGAATCGCCCATGAGTAGGAACATCTGACGACTCATGTGGTTGCGGACTTGTGGCAACCAGTCCAAGCAGCGGCTCAGTGGACTGCGATATACCACGCCCACGAGTAACTCGCAGCGTCTGAGGTGGATCGAACACCATAACTGTTCACGTAGACCATCAGCTCTTTGGTAGGCGCTCACTAGTCTCCCACACAAGGAAAACTTTATGTAAAGTAGAACGCCACCGCGACCATTTGATGGTCTATCACAGCGGAAGCTTGCGTAGCCGCTGATTCCCACTTCTTGGGCGGTTACGTCGGGGTTTAAACATGTCTCAGCAAGGCCATATACGTCTG